AGAGCGGGTGCGTGTGTGTGCGGGGGGGGGGGGGAGATGTGATCTTTTATTTTTCATAGAGGGACAGAGGCAGCGGTCGCGCTTCTCCCAATAGCCACAGTAACCACAATCCCAGGCAGCCCCCTGCAGCCGCCGCTCAGCAGAGAAGAGAATTTTTAAAGGTCGCTTCGCCTGCGCCTTGGGAGACCCAGGAAAGCGGCTGCGTTGGCTTTTCCTTTTTTCCTCTCCTCCTTCCTGTATCATTATTGTTGTTCGTTTTTTTTTTTAATCCTACAGTCCCGGCACCTCCTGGAGCTGACCAGGAACTGAGCAGCGCCGAAGAGAAAGCCTGTCCTAGCTTGTATGCCCGTGTATGTGCTCAAAGCCCAAAGCAAACCAAAAGCCAGCCACAAAAATAATAATACACACGTGAAAAGGTGGGGACATTGCCATGGTCACTAAAAGCAAGAAGGAGCCGGACAGATGAGCCACCTCTGAGGACACTTTGGGGTTTTTTCCTCTTTTTGTTGGTGGAAAACACAAATTGTAGAATTTTTTTCCCTTTGCCTTTTGCTGCAACTTGTGCTGGAGCCTCGTTAATTTCACTTGGCTATGGTAGGTTCCCTGTCAGTTTCATTTTCTCTTCTACGTTCTTCCCCCTCCCCTCTTTGGTGCGTGGACCAAACAGCAAAAGTTTCTGGGTGGGGGAGGCGGCTGGGGGATGTTTGTGGGAAGTGGCTTGTCCCGAAATGGCCATAGCGGAAAATGGCCGCTACGAAAGGGGCGGAGAGGACTGCAAGCCGCACCGACTTGAACTTGGCAGTGACGCCCAGCAGAGGCGCGATCCAGGCCCGGCTGCGCACCCGGCGCTACTGCCCTTCCCCCCTTCCCCGGAGTGTTTTCATGCCCACCTGCCTGAGCTGGCCCGGGTCTGCCCGACAGGGCCCGAGGGGAAGGGAGAGCAATTCCTCCACTCCCCCCGTGCGAAATGCACACCCGTCTCCCCCGCCCCCAGCCTGCATGCCAGCTGCAGGAGTAGCTGCTGCTCTAAGCAGCTGGCAGCCCCGGGC